TAACAGGAATTAATATTATGGCAAAGGTGTTTGCAAATGTTTGCTTTTGAGATGTGTTTGTGATATTTTGAATGCAGTGCTTCATTTTGCAAGAGATGTGAGGCATTTTGCATTTTGTTTGTGCAATTCTTGGAGTTGTGTGTAAAGTTTTGAAAAAGGAGGAAAAGTTTTGAAAATGTGTGTAAGCAGTTGAAAACTGGTAGAAAACTGGTAGAAAAACTGTAATAACTAGATTGAAAAGTTTGAAAGACAAATTTATGCTGGCTTGTCTTAAAGTTTTGTTTAAAAACGTAAATGGTTTGGTCAGTTGTAGATGTTCTAGATGTTTGCTAAAGTGTTGCTAGTTGGTTGCTAGGATATTCTGGGTGGTTGCTAGGCTCTTGCTATGCAGTTGCTGGGGTGTTGCTAGAGTATATGGTTGATATACTTTAGTTTGTTCTGGGTGATTACAGACATTCCCACCTCTGTTAATAACAGAAAATCAAACATTGTTTTCAAAACTGATCCCGTTTCAGTGCTTTGATATTATTGTATTTATTTCTAATGCTAGGAAATTCAAAAGTTTTTGTTGCTCTTAAACTTGCACTAAAACGTGATTTATACCATCTAAGTAGCCTATGTAATTTTAATAGAACCGCATGTCTTCTTTGGTGATACAAGCTCAGAAACATTTATAACCTTTTGGAAGTTTTTTTATTGTGTATTGACTTGGTGCCATGATGGATATTGAAATGTTGTTATTTATTTTTCATTTTAAACAGTAGCCTATAGATGATTACTTAATGGTAATACAATATTCGTGAACACAACTGTATGTCAGACCATAAATCCCCAAAAACTATGCATGGGGGCTTGCTTTGGTGTTGCCACCCCTCATAGACCCCATGCTACCCCATTGCCACCCTAAAAATTATTTTCTAGATCCGCCCCTGGTTGGGAACAAAGTCTGGTTTCATTTAGGTAAGGGCTCTTCTTACCCATTATGAGACTTATTAACCTACTATAAAAGACAGTGGGGAATGTCATAATTAACATACTCCTAATAATAATCCAAAGCCATTTCCAGCATTGCCACACATCCCCCTCTGGTTTGACTTTACAGTGGAAAAGGCCTATAAACATGACTGCAGGGAACATTTTCACTGGCTGTCCGCTTATTTTTTGCTACTTTGGAGTGGTATTCTTGTTTACCAGGCCGGTAATACTGTGGCTGGGTTGAGAAATGAGCCATCCTCTTTGACACAAAGCCTAACTTTCTGCTGTGGAACTATGGGACTGTTTTCAAATGTTAGCCTTCTGAGAGCCATAATTATCCACATGCAGCTTTAATAGGTGCTAGTAAGCATTTTATGGTTGTTAGTTTTGAATAGCACGGGAATGGGCTTTACGAATGCAGATCCGGTCTACATATAACTTTTTCAATAAGCAAGGAGATCTATGACAATTAGTATGTGAGTTTGTGTACCGTATTTACTTGGAGGTATAAGTGTTGTCATAAGTATAAATGTGTGTGTGTGTGTGTGTGTACAGGACCCTCAGAAGAGTCTGTCTCAGTGCGGTATAACCGACGACCAACCTGTCCTGATACATCAGTGGTTGCCCACCTTCCAACACCACCTCCTGCCCGACACAGGAAGAGCCACAGTCTGGGGAACAAGTAGGTATCCCACTACATTATGAGAAAAGTTCACCCCTCACAACACATATGACAAGTGTGAAAAAGTACACTTTAGCATACGTTTAAAAAGAGTTTATTTCAAAAATAGTATACATGTAATATACATAAGTGTGAACTGAACAGACACTGAATTGTATATTAATAGCAATGAGTGAAAATGTATGTATTATAGTTTAAATTTATGTTAAATGCAATTAGCTGAACTGTAGTGTGCTTTATTGACCCACTTAAGTAGGGCCTACAGTAAGTACTTTTTTTTATATTTTCATAATTATTTCACTTATCTTTTAAAACATGGTTAAAGGGATAGTTCACCCAAGAATGAAAATTCTGTTATCATTTACTCATCCTCAGGCTATTTCAAACCTGTATGAATATCTTTCTTCTGCTGAACACAAAAGAAAATATTTTGAAGAATGTAACCAAACAGTTGCTGGTCCCCATTGACTTCTATAGTATTTTTGTCCATACTCTGGAAGTCAATGGGAACCAGCAACTGTTTAGAGACCAACATTCTTCTAAATATCTTTTTTTTTATGATCTAAAGAAGAAACAAACTCATACAGGTTTGGAACAACTTGAGGGTGAATAAATGACTTATAAGCCATTTTAAATATATTTGTAATTACACAGTTGTAATAATGATGTTGCAATTTAGTGCTTTTAAAATATATTAACTTCAAATGTAATATCAAACATGTGCTTTAGTATGCTAGTCAACACATTTAGTCTTTAGGTACTCTTAAGAGGCCTTTTATTTCATTAATATTATATTATCTGCAAGTAGAAATATACTTTCAACATCTGAAGTACACTACAAGTACATATTCAATACAACTAAGTGCACTTCTTTTTTACAAGGGAACACGGTGCCTAATCTGACTGATTGTCTTTGTGTTTCAATTCTGTCATCTCTTCTCAGTATGATGTGCCAGTTTGGTGTGGTGGAGAGTAAAAGTGCGACATTCCCTGCAAAAGAAAAGGCTCGACACCTACTGGACGACAGCTTCTTAGAGTCTCACAGTCCTGTCAGAAACCACACACACGATTCAGTATTTACCAACGGCATCTCACTTGGTACTACAGTTTATTCCTCTTATACACACCCTCATATCTCAGTCTTTGTCCCACTAACACAAGATTAATGTGTTAGGATATCTGCATCCTAATTTAAAGGTGTTCTCTTTTACCACCATAAAATATGACTGCTGTGTTGAAACTGTGTTTGCATTTATGATTTTTCACCACTAGATGACAGTAGTGTTCAAGCCTTTGTTATTACAGTGGGTTATTGTCTTTCACAAACACCACATTGATTTTTTTCAAAATAGACTTGACATCTTCACCATGGAATATTTCTGCCACCACCTTTCATTCATTTATTCTAAGAGAAAGAAAATGATTTTGTTTTGTCCTGACCTTCATATTTTTTTGGTCTGTCTGCAGGCAGTAGAGAGAGCTCTTTTAGTGATGAATTATCAAGTACAGTTGAGAGGTAAGGCAAATTATACATCATGATTATAAATTAGAATAGAAAATTAATTGCATTTATTATATTTCTGTTTAGTTTTTTTTCTGAGTTCAGGTCTATATTTATATATACACAATCTTAAATCACAACACATTAACAACATTTGCAGTTCTAACTCTGTTCAGAATCTCAGCTGTTAACATGTTTCTTATTTATTTGTGACGCTTTCGTTTTCTTAAAACAAATGAAAAACACATTCCTCTTCCTGACCACTTTCAGAGGACGTATGTACGCGACACTTGGTCCAAATTGGCGAGTCCCAATCTGTAACTCTCCCAGAAGTAGAAGTTATATTTATAGGTAGGAATATAGCTGTTACCTGTGTCCCTAAAAACTGAAGTTAATGCTGTTGTCTTTCTTAAACAATTATTTTAATCTTCTTATCTTTGTTTCCTTCTTGATTTACTGTACATATCCTCATCACATACTTGAGTTGTTCTGCTGCAGGACATATTGATCTCAGTGTTTTATATGACCTGAGGAAAAAAATTATTTTCTTGCTTCCCCAGTACCCCAGGGGCAGTTTCCAGCTATGAATGCAGTTCTCTGAGCAGTATAACCATTGAAGGGCCCCTGCGAAGAAAGACACTGATGAAGGAGGGTAAAAAACCCACTGTAAGTGTGCAGTAAAATTTACCTGTAAAATGTTAAATGTTAAACATGAGCCAGTATTTTTACCCTGTAGCCCACTTATGATCAATAGGTTAACTTGGATGAATTTATTAGATTAGATATGGCTTTGATGCGTTTGTAAATCTCTCATTTATATAAAGTTAAGATTATTGTCAGTATAAACATGAAATGTATTGTAGACTTTATCTAGATATGTTTGTGGTTTGAGGATTTTACCTTAAGTTTATTAAGTTTGCATAGTTAAGTGACAACTTATTATGACTTGCCTCTCGTGTGCAGAAGTGAAAGGCCTTGCTCAAATGACTTTTATAATTACATGAAATGTTTTCCAACCATGATTGACCTTACTAAACGTATGAAGAAATATTTTAAAATCTTGGCATGGAATCATATACAAGCAATCAAGTACAGGTGCATCTCAATAAATTAGAATGTCGTGGAAAAGTTCATTTATTTCAGTAATTCAACTCAAATTGTGAAACTCGTGTATTAAATAAATTCAGTGCACACAGACTGAAGTAGTTTAAGTCTTTGGTTCTTTTAATTGTGATGATTTTGGCTCACATTTAACAAAAACCCACCAATTCACTATCTCAACAAATTAGAATATGGTGACATGCCAATCAGCTAATCAACTCAAAACACCTGCAAAGGTTTCCTGAGCCTTCAAAATGGTCTCTCAGTTTGGTTCACTAGACTACACAATCATGGGGAAGACTGCTGATCTGACAGTTGTCCAAAAGACGATCATTGACACACTTCACAAGGAGGGTAAGCCACAAACATTCACTGCCAAAGAAGCTGGCTGTTCACAGAGTGCTGTATCCAAGCATGTTAACAGAAAGTTGAGTGGAAGGAAAAAGTGTGCCTTGTGAGGATTGTCAAGCAAAATCGATTCAAGAATTTTAGTGAACTTCACAAGGAATGGACTGGGGCTGGGGTCAAGGCATCAAGAGCCGCCACACACAGACGTGTCAAGGAATTTGTCTACAGTTGTCGTATTCCTCTTGTTACGCCACTCCTGAACCACAGACAACGTCAGATGCGTCTTACCTGGGCTAAGGAGAAGAACTGGACTGTTGCCCAGTGGTCCAAAGTTCTCTTTTCAGATGAGAGCAAGTTTTGTCTGGAGGAAGGGTGGAGAAGCTCGTAGCCCAAGTTGCTTGAAGTCCAGTGTCACAGTCTGTGATGATTTGGGGTGCAGTGTCATCTGCTGGTGTTGGTCCATTTTGTTTTTTGAAAACCAACGTCACTGTACCCGTTTACCAAGAAATTTTGGAGCATTTCATGCTTCCTTCTGCTGACCAGCTTTTTGAAGATGCTGATTTCATTTTCCAGCAGGATTTGGCACCTGCCCACACTGCCAAAAGCACCAAATGTTGGTTAAATGACCATGGTGTTGGTGTGCTTGACTGGCCAGCAAACTCACCAGACCTGAACCCCATAGAGAATCTATGGGGTATTGTCAAGAGGAAAATGAGAAACAAGAGACCAAAAAATGCAGATGAGCTGAAGGCCACTGTCAAAGAAACCTGGGCTTCCATACCACCTCAGCAGTGCCACAAACTGATCACCTCCATGCCACGCCGAATTGAGGCAGTAATTAAAGCAAAAGGAGCCCCTACCAAGTATTGAGTACATGTACAGTAAATGAACATACTTTCCAGAAGGCCAACAATTCACTAAAAGATTTTAGTGAATTTTATTTTATTGGTCTTATGAAGTATTCTAATTTGTTGAGATAGTGAATTGGTGGGTTTTTGTTAAATGTGAGACAAAATCATCACAATTAAAAGAACCAAAGACTTAAACTACTTCAGTCTGTGTGTATTGAATTTATTTAATACACGAGTTTCACAATTTGAGTTGAATTACTGAAATAAATGAACTTTTCCATGACATTCTAATTTATTGAGATGCACCTGTATAATTACAGTGTTTGGTAACATCTCTGACTCACTCTGCCTTGCAAGTTCCAAGTAAGGGTTTTGTTGTTTCTTTCTTTCTTTTTTGTTTTTGTTTGTGATCTTTAGTGCATGGCAAGAATCTCACAGAATACCATCCTACAAATAGGCATATACAATACAGTGTTGCACACTGGTACATCTTCAGTTACAAAATATCCTTAGGATAGAATGTCCTGCCATTTGTCTGGTTTTTCTATGTGCCAGAATGCTGGACACTTATGAGTTAAATATTAAAGATGTGGTGACTATGCCAAATCTGAAAAATTTTGATAGAATGAGGAAAAAACAAAAAGGGTTTATTTTATGTCGACAAGCCAAAGCATGAGTACTTGCAAAGTACACAACTTAATACTTTGATTCAGCAAGGTTACAATAAATTGATCAAAAGTGACACTACAGAGTTTTCCGTTGTAAGAAAAGATTTATATTTCAAATAAATGCTGTTGTTTTGAAAGTTCTGTTTAAAGAATGCTGAAAAGATGTATCACGGTTTCCACAAAAATATTAAGCAACACAACTGAACAGGCTAGAACTAAAGTAGGGGTGCTAATGAGGGACAGACAGGTGAGGAGAATCAACTAATGAGGAGGACACAGGTGAACTGACTAACATAATCAAACACAGGGAAAAATTGGGTCACGGAACACATGAGGAATGAAAACACAACAAAAGTTCATGAAAACTAAAAAGAACAGAATATAAGTGTGACATGAAAGGGGATCTATTATGCCCCTTTTTTACAAGATGTAAAATAAGTCTCTGATGTCCCTAGAGTGTGTACGTGAAGTTTTAGCTCAAAATACCCCACAGATCATTTTTATAGCTTGTTTAAGTTGCCACTTTTAGGGTATGAGCCAAAACGCGCTGTTTTTGTCTTTGCCCTTTTAAATGCAAATGAGCTGGTGCTCCCAGCCCCCTTTTCAGAAGAGGCGGAGCTTTAAAAGCTAATGCTCCTGCCAGCACACCGGCAAACTGAAACTGTCAGAAACTCTCAAGCGATCGACTCACATTGCTTTCATATGCTTTTTTTAACTACCGCATTCCTATTTACGATCATTCTGGTAGCACATGAAGGCAGCATCAGTGAAAACAGGCAGAGACAATGGTAGCTTTAGCAACCATTAGCCTTACAGAGTGCCAAGAAGCTTTTTCAGAAAGGCAATTTGAAAACAATATAAAGCGCTTACTTTGTCTGGATCTGACATTCGCACACAAAGCGTTGGTATTGATCCCACTTTCATAATCAGACTTTGTCCAGCACAGTGTCCTTAGCAGCTCAGATGGACTCCTATGTTCATTGGTGCATCGCAAAAACACAACACTCGTAATGCCTCTTTGGCGCTGACATGTGGTGCATTCCAAATGGAATATATCCCATCAAAAACTGAAAAACCCTTTGAAGGGATTAGGGCATAGGGATGAGCCCTTCCGAATGGAACGCAGGGATTGTGTATCTCCAGTAACTGCTGCTTCTCACTCAGAACTGTGTCTATGCTAATAGGTCAGAGTGTCACAAATGGGCAGGGCTTTTTTCCCCTATGGTAACGTGTACCTAGGGAGAAATCTGGAATGGCTTGTTCTGAGAGATAGTTATTGAGATTATAAAAAAAATGAGTGGGTGGATTTTTACCATAACAAGCTAGTTGTTTTCACACACTGCAGCCACACAACGTGTTCAATCACCTTATAAAAGTGATTTTTGCATAATAGGTCCCCTTTAACATTGATAATGAATCTTAAATCTTAAGCAGCAAATCATCATATTAGAATGATTTCTGAAGGATCATGAGACACTAAAGCCTGGAGTAATGGCTGCTGAAAATTCAGCTTGCTATAACAGGAATAATTACATTTTAAAATATATTCAAAAACAACAGTTACAATTATAATTGTTATTATAAATATTACAAATGACTTTCAAGTACAATAAAAACTTTTGCCCTAGGTACACTGTAAAAATGACTAATTTTAATAGTAAAATATCACCTGTTTTTTTCTTATCAGTGCATCAGTTATGTGGCTTACATGCTGTTAAATCCATTATAAATGGCAGAATCCATGTCTTTACTGTGTAGATGTTTAAACCAAATATGTAATCAATCATGACATTTTATTTTGCACGTCCAAAACCATTTGTAGTGCTGCCTGTCTTGGCCAGGTCTTCATTGTTGGAGGTCTAAATGTCAGTGTGACTGCCCCAATTGATAGTTAATAATAAAGAAATAAAGATGGATATACAGTACATAAAATAGTCATGTCTGTTTGAGTTTTTAGAGAAGAGCACTTGGTCTGTCTCTTAAGCTGATTTGCACTTTTATTTTCTTCCATGTCAGCTCTCATCCTGGAAGCGCTACTGGATTGTCCTATCTGGCTCCATTCTCATCTATTTTGGTTCTAAAGCTCTAAGAGCAAATGAGCGAAGACATGTGAGTGATTAAATATTCTCTCAATTCAATTCAATTTTTTTTTTACTTATGAAGTGCCATCTAAGCTATTAGTCAGACTTTAACTGGTCGAATAATAAAAATAAAAAGTGTTGCCTATGTTTATGCTAATTAAAACTATTTAATTATTTCAACCAATCTAATTCAGTTCAGCTTTAAGAACTTATCGTTTAGATTATTTATGCTAAGGGAAATTCCAGTACTCTTTTGAATTCAAGCTTAAATTAAGTTTACTTGGCTTAACCTCCTTGTAATTGTGCCTTTTTGTCTTAAGTATAAATCCAGGCCATGTAAAAAGATCACACTCACAGGTTGGATGGTGGTTCTGCCAGAAAACCCTGAACATCCAAATATTTTCCAGCTTACTGATCCTGAAAGAGGTATTGTTTTTCATCTGTCTACAACTCATGCATGAACATATAATGTATGTGACTTAAAATATAATTCTTCACAAACATAAACTGTTTCACACTGTGATAAAATAGCTACAAAACAATGTTTATGGCTATTTTTCATTCATTTGCTGCATACGACATACAAATGTTTGACATAAAAATGCTTTTGTGCTTTTATACTTTATATTTCGATTCAAAACAAACATTCGTTTCGCAATCATCGTTTCGCAATCACAAAAAATGCTTTAATTGTGTGGCATTTTAAAACTCTCACCAACCGTCACTGAAATGTCATGCCACTTCCCAGATTGAAGGTGTGAATCAGAAACTTTTGGAGTACTTTCACTTAGTATGGCATTGTAAGCGGCAGGCAGGTGATGGATAAATTCTTCAATTTGGTAGGTTTCAGAAATGAAAGAAAACTGGAACATTGTGAAAGATCATCTAAAAGTGATCATGATGCTCTTGTTTTTTTTGTGTGTTTTTTTTTTTTGTCTGTCAGCTGTTGTGTTATCTGTTTTGTCATTGAACGTATTTGCCATTTAAATGTAGAGAAAAAAGTTCTGTAATATCCTGATGAGGTTCCAGGAAATAGTTTGAATCAAACAGCATTATCTTGATGTGTGAGCACTGGCTTCATGTAGACCTTGATATGTATACAAATGATCTTCTACTGAAAGATGACCAAGTCCAGATGGTTTGTTTAAACATGAAAATATTTGACATAAAAAATGAGTCATTGCTACATAGAGTTGATTCAGCAAATTACTTTATGGCTTTATAAATGGCAGATTTGCAATGTCACACAACTTAATTTGAAAAAACCCATACAAGTTCAATTGTTTTAATCTGTGGTTCAGGTAATGTTTACAAGTTCCAGACTGGATCACGTTTCTCTGCGATTATCTGGCACAGACATTTAGCCGAGGCGTGCAGGAGTACAAGACCACAGGTAAGTGTATCGTGATTCGTGACACAAAATTTCTCATGTAAAATAAATATGTGTAATTAACCGTTATATGCAGGAATGTCACATTGTTTTCCACAGATACCAGCAAACCTCATGTCCTTTGAATAGCTGCTTTTTGGGAAGTGGAATACAGATGAAGAGAATAAACCTCATGGAGAAAGACATTGCAGAAGAGTTTATGCGAGGGGGCAGCATGCTGGACCTAACATAGTTGGAAATGTGGCAGCTGTATCTGTTGAAAAAGTCCAAAAGTGTTTCAGACATTGTTGACACAGCTGTACTGAGAGAGGATGGCCTTGTGTCTTCAGTTTAGTGGTAACACTTTACAATAAGGTTCAATTTGTTAGCATGATATAAAGGAATAGCTCACTCAAACATGAAAATATACCCACCCACCCTCAGGCCATCCAAGATGCACAGTAGACGAGTTTGTTTCTTCATCAGAACAGATTTGGTCAAATTAGAATCACATCACTTGCTCAGCAATGCATCCTCTGTAATGAATGGGTGCCGCTTCTGGCCAAAATACCAGTTCATAATCCATAATAACACTTCCTTCAGTGAAAAAGTCTGTAAACAGCGCTTGATCTAAGCGTAGTTCTCTTCTGATTCAGAATTTTTCACTGGAAAAAGCAATATCATGGATAGAGGACTCATATTTTAGCTGGAAGCAAGTTTGAAGTTGTTTGGAAGATAATGATAATGAATTCATTAATGCATTGCAGCCATTTTTATAGCATTTATCCATCTAAGTTAATGTTTGTTTATAAATATACTACTGTTAATCCTATCCATATTTTTTCATAATACATTCAAGTTAATTTATACAATCATATATAACTGATGTTAACAAATTGAAACCTTATTGTTAGTTTTACCTGACGAACCTAAAGGTACATGTGAAATATCTTGTAAATGACATGTATAAAATAACATTGTCCAATAGATGTCTTCATGTGATTAAGTGCCAAAATTACGACCTTTGTATTATTAAATCTCCTAGAATTCTGTTCAATTCATGTTAGATGTTAGAGAGCAAAAGTGAAAGCATTAAATCCCTGGACAATGAGCATGCATACAACATTTATGACAGCACTTCATAAGAGGAGCCAAAAAAGTGCACTGTATAAAGGGAAATTTGTTACATAAAGGGAATTGCACATTGACACAATAATGGCATTTAAATGGCAAATTTGGATTATTAAACATGTAATGTCACACGGGTATCAGGAAATACGTGCCAGTGTTAATGTGGTGTAGTTCAACTCAAAGTTCTGTAGTGTATTTACTTGTGGACAAAATATGAGTGATGTCCGATTGTATGTCTTGACATCATGAAGTGGGCAGGACCCAAAAGGTATATAGTTCTGGATGCTGATCAGGTTTTATAGAGATACTGTTGTAAAATGTACATGTAAATGAAGTTCCGGGAGAATGTGAAGGGAAGCAACTGTCTTGTCTTGTCAAAGTCTTTTGGTCAGAGCCATGTATAATGTATTCATTGGAGAAACAACAATTCACATCTAATACTTGTGTAGAATTATTTTTGTTATTATTTCTTTATTCATTTAAATGGTATACATCAAGAGGTCTGTACAAATTGTAAAGTACATAAAGTGTAGTAATTTGCAGAGTCACAAATTTTTATAAGGTGTAGGAATGAGACTCATTCTTCCTCAAAGGTGACATTAAGGCACTAAATGTGAAGTGTAGAATGCTTTGTATATTGCAAATTGCAAATGGAGATTATACTTTGTTTGATTGTTCTGTCAATTTTCTGGAACATGCATGGATGTTTTGAACTAACAGGTTTTTTTGTGTCACTTTAGTATCAGTATAAATGTGTACACACTATCGAGGCATGTACAGGAACTACTCCAGGAAAAGCTGTGAATCTGTTATTCAAAAATTGGATCAGGCTTTGAATCTTCAAACAGTACAGAACCACTTACAACAAGACTACAACATATGATAAAGATGACAGATGAAATGCCGCTCTCACAGATTTTGTTCGATTTTGAGTCACGTAAGCAACCATGTTATCAGCAAGTACAGTATTACTAAGTGGTAGCTACCTCTTTATTCTTTCTTTTTGGGGGGTTATGGTTACCATACCATCTGAAAGTTCACATATTTCTGTATATTTCTGTCCTCTGCTAATGACTGAGTTTTGGATGTTCTATTCGGTTCTCACAATGTGATGTCATTGAATCTTTATAGGTCTATAATGAGCCTAGACATTTTACTAACTCAATACTTGTGTGTTTTGTCTTTATGGAAATATATGCCTAATGAGAAAAATTGGTATGGTTTGACTTATTTCGCGCTTACACACTATATGACATATTTCCTCTCGTATCTTTTACTTCGTAGTTCCTGTAAATTCTCGTCTCAGGGTAGTTTTGTCTTTGGAAATCAGAATCACATTACATTCAAATACATTCTCATCTCATCTGAACACATTTTACTCTTATACTAAATTTAATCTATTCTAAAACAACATTCCATTTCTCCTAAGAACTCGGTAAATGTAGTTTTGAAACAAGAAAAAAAAAATATGCATAATTCCCTACTACAAGGTGACAGTATGTTAAATGTATATGTCTGAATTCACAGTATATTCTTAGGCAAAAGTACCCTGATGACCTACTGCTACCGGCAAGATTCTCAAGTGACGAGATACAACTGACACCGTAGGTTCAGCATTCCAGAAGATGAGTTTGGGTGTAGGGTGTTTGCTGTACACAGGCTGTACACAACTGACTGGGTTTTTCAAACCGGTTTTTAAAGCAATAAGCCCCAAGAAGCCGTGGTTTACAGTGAATTTATAACAGCTAAGGGGGATTGTTAGGTAAAAAACCCTTAGCTGTTATCAGGGGCGTCAGACTGGGGGTAAAACCAGTATCTGTTCCCTTTGTCTTGTTCATTCTGCAAATAAAATATGACTGAATCAAGTCTTGTTTGGTTATCATACAGTACGCAGTTTGTTCATGTAGGGCCCGGGATCTTGTGCAACGCCCCTGGCTGTTATAAATATACTGTAAACCACAGCTTCATGTGGCTTATTGCTTTTATAAAACGGTTATTCCATATACGTAGTAAGGTTTCACAAAATAAAACAGAGCAAATAAAGTGTAATGATATTAATAAAAACATTATTCTTCCGCCAAACAATGTAGTTCCTCAGAAACGGTTGTGGTTGCAACAAAGTGGTTGCCGAGCAACATACAAAGGCGTATGTTTGTAGAGTGATTTACAACAGCTTCGAACGTGGCTCAACCAATCAGAATCAAGGACCGGAACTATCCGTTTTATAATCAAGATTTTGTGCCCACTTCTGTAAGGATCATCTTTGGCATGATGAAGCTGTTTGAGTTTCCCTGTGAACCATGGTTTATCATTATTGAATGATCAAAATGTCCCAGTAGGAATGCATGTATTCTCACAGAAACTGATGTATGATGTTACAGTATCTTTGAAGTCATCGGTGGTCATCAAAAAGTCATACATTTTTAACAGATATGTTGTTTTAGATCAAGGTAAGAGAGTTCAATTGAACAAGTCAAGTGAGTCAGAACATTTTTGCAAAGTATAACAAAATGTATTTTATCTCAGTGTATTTGTTTGCAAATTTATGAGTAGTTTTACGGTTATGTGGAAAACACTGTCTATACAGATTTTGATTAAAGCCAGATGTATTGAACAGCTGTAACCTGCTGTGAACAAACACAAGTGAAATACTGGAGCAAAAGCAACAAGTCATGTTGTGCTATTTTGGAAGAAAAAAAAACCTGGGTCTTAAAATACTAACATGTCTTGTATTTACTGTCTTGATGATAACTTAACCAACATTGTGATTTAAGTAACACTTGAAGGATTGCAAGTCAGACTGCCTGCGTCTCCATTATGAGCCATCCCAATGATTTCCAGTGCCTCTTCCTGTTACAAAATAAACAAGCTCTGTCATATTGTAACATGTGCTCTGTTCTGTGTTGCTATGTTTTTGTTTTTACCTAGTTTTCCCCAGTCTGTTTGATTATGTCATTCTGTTCACCTGTGTCTTGTTGATTATCTCATTATTGGTTTCCCTTTGTTTGGTTCCTGCTTATAAACCCTCTGTTCTAATTCAGTTTCGTCCATTCTCGTCTAAGTTGGTTTCCGTGCCTTGTCTCATCGATTTTATCTAATTAAAAGACTTTTCTTTGATCTTCTTTGCCGTCCTGCATTTTGTATCACCAACTGACACATATCCAGTTTTGCTGATTTAAAGGGATAGTTCACCCAAAAATGCAAATTCCATAATTTACTCAGCATCATGTCCTTTCAAACCTGAATGAATGAATGTATTTTAAAGAACACAAGAGGATGTTCAAACTACATTGGACCACACCGAGTTTCATTGCCTGGACCAAAAACATAAAAAAAAAAACATCAAACAGAGTAAGAAACGAGCTGTCCTGGGTTTTTTTTTTTTTTTTTGTCTTGTCTGAAGCATTTCAGGGAAAACAAGACTATGTAAACCAACACCATGAGTATGTATACTGTTATGAAGGGCATGAGGTCATATGTTCCTAACATTCTTGTAGGTGAAGTGCTTTTCCACCTGAAAAGGTATATAGATATATAGAAGCATACAAACATTTAAATACAGATATCTCCCAAGGCTAACATGTAAAGCAGTGGTCTCAAACGCAATTCCTGGAGGCCCACAGCTCTGCACAGTTTAGCTCCAACCAGCTCCAAATCACACCTGCTTGGAAGTTTCTAGTTATCCTGAAGACCTTGATTAGCTGGATCAGGTGTGAAAAGCAGTGGTCCTAGTACAGAGCCTTCTGGTACTCCTTGTGGCACCTCTTCATTTACTCCTACGAACTGATGACGTCAAATAAGTACGATTTAAACCATGCCAATGCAGTTCCACTAATGCCAACATAATTTTCTAGTCTATTCAAACGATTGTTGTGGTCGTTAAGAGTCAAATGCAGCACTAAAATCCAGCAGCACTAACAGGGAGATACAACAACAATCGGATTATAAGAGCAGGTCATTTGTAACTCTGATGAGAGCAGTCTCAGTACTACGATATGACCTAAATACTGAATGGAAATCCTCATAAATACCATTTTTCTCTAAGAATGAATATAGCTGTGAGGATACTACCTTTCTAGTATTTTTGACAGAAAAGGGAAATTTGAGATCGGTCTGTAAATAACCAATTCTCTAATCAAGTTGTGTTTTTTTAATGAGAGGCTTAATAACAGCCAGCTTGAAAGTTTTTGGGACATATCCTAATGACTGATGAATTAATACTATTCAGAAGAGGATCTATGACTTCTTGAAGCACCTCTTTTAGTAGCTTATATGGTATAGGTCTAG